TGCTCATTACAAATATTTACTCATTACAATTTTTTTTCGTGGTCGTCGTCGTTGGTTCTATGCACCTCGATATTCATTCTGTGTCTTCTTCCAAGTTGAATTGCAAAGCGGCACGAAAAAGAAGAACCATTGTGGGCAAGGTGTGCCTTACATTACAAATGAATATATGTATTTACGTTTTGGAGCAGTTATTTGGAGCGTTCAAATTTGGTAGACGAAAGTCATCGGCTAGTGTGACGTAAAAATAAAAGACGGGGCTTTTTTTCTATTTGTTTTATTTTTCATGTTCCGTTTGCTTACACGTAATGTGCGCGCTTGTGCATCTTTAGTTCACCAAGAGCGATACACACCGCCTTCGTCACAATATCCGGACACACCATACAATTCCGTCTTTGCTCATGACTAATGATCGATGAACTAGAAACACGACATCGGCAAAGAGAACGCTAGTTTTTCGGTACCGGAAATGAAGTTCAAAGCTTCAACGGAATCGACGCGATTTTCAAATGAAAATACGAAGAATTACATAACGTAAAATGTACATTTTCTAAACGAACTAAATGACAATTTTACGTCAAATGATTCCCATTCTTTTTTGCGCTTATTACTCACATTTAGCAAAATGGATACTTATCAAACCTTGGGCGTTTTTTTGTCATGTTATATAAATGTGCTCTGATTTTTTCTTTTCATTTACGCCATAATTGATGGTGAAATTCCAATTTTTTTTTCTTCTCCCATTCACCGTTGGAGTGATTTGAAAAATTAATTGTGTTTGTTTGCAAATTTTATGATCGTCATTGCGGACTAAATTAGTACAATTTCATGAAGTCAAATATATGGATCACTTCTCCAGCATTGCTTGTTTGTCTAAATTCATTTGTTTCCAAGTAATTTTTTTAATGATCCAATTCAATGTTGTGTGTTGATCATATAAGTAGTTTTTTGTAAATGCAAAGCACTTAAACTGTGTAAACCAGACAACACAATAAAATGTATATTAAAGCGATGAAAAATAAAACCGAGCAACATTATTGGCATTTGAAATAAACTGAATTTAATAGTCTTGGCAAACGCTTTATTTTCACAGAATTAAACTTTTTTTTTGTGATCATAAAGTTGGTAATATGGAGTATGGAATGGAATTTTTTTTTGTCATCGAAATGTCGCCTGTGTATACAGGGTTCACTGTTGTAGTTTCATGAATCCAAAGGTGGGTGCATCAAATTGTTTGTGTACGCTTGTTTTTTTTTCGTTCATCCAAAAACTGTTTTCTCTTTTTATATCGAATCTAGCGAAGAGTCGTATATATAAAATGAAACATGAACGCTTCGTAATTATTGTTCATATGGAGAGTTACTTTCATATAAAAAGCGAATATACATTTCGTTATCTTATCAACAAAAAAAAAATGGAGAAAGAGAGACGGAGACAGCGGCAGACCCGAAAAATGGTGCGCGTAATTCTAACATTAGGCAACAAACATACGGTGTTTGTGTTCTCTCTTTGTGTCTACGTACATATTTTTCGATTTTGTTGGTACACACTCGCCTTTTTTCCCTATTTTTCGACCAAATAAACCGTTTTTCGAGACCAAAAATCGACATATTGAGTTCAATTCGTTCAACTAATGATTGCCATTTGATGATAATTGAACGAAAAATAAAGGTGTAAAAGTATTTTCCCGCGATCGAAATTGTTCAAAAGATTGATGGATTTTTTAGCCACATGAATTGCCTACCATTCACCGCGTGCTAGCTAATTGATACTTATAATAGGAAATTATTTATTTTGAACTTGCTTTTATTTCGATGGTGATCCAATTTGGTGAAAAAAAAAAACAACTCCAAAACCGTCACGGAATAATATCCTTGACCGAAAAAAAAATTGCCAATTGAACGTAATCATTTCAAAAAAGGTCTATTTCGGGACTTGATTGGTGACTCAGAGCGAAACTTGAAACAAGATTCTCTGAAGTTTTGAAAAGAGCCATTTTGATTCGAAGTAAATAGCATCGGTAATAAAAAGAAGCGTAGCGATTAATTTTGAGAGAGAGATTCAGTTGTGTTGTCTTCATTCTTATTATTTAATTTTGGAATTCATTACTTTTGCTATTTGTCATTTGCTATTTGAACAAGTGTTCACCGAGTAATAAAATGTCGTTGAGCAATTTTCTATTGTTATCCTCATCGTAGTTGTGGTGTTGGATCTTATTTGTTCGTTTGTTGGCGTTGGTAAATACGATCGCTCGTTGTATGGTGCAATGGTTACACATTATTTATTAAGACATTTATAAATTTTACCCGTGTGCCTGAAAGCTGATAAGCTACGGTGTACGCTCGCGCAATGCACGAGTGATCGCTCTTAATATTTTATATTGCAACAATGATAACCATGCGCAAATGACACAAGCTCAATTATGTGGAAAAATACTAACGGGCTCCAACGACGAAAAAAAAAACTTATATGCGCAAAAAGAGGTGGAACAAAATAAAAAGAAAACGCTTCTATCTCTCACTCTGGAAACATTGTTGTTTTCGTTATTTTGTTTCCCTCTTGATTTTTTTTTCCTTTTTCTTCTTTTTCTGTATGAAAAAAATAAATGTCGTTCACAAGCACTTAAAATCACTTGAAATAACAACAACAATAACTGCGAAAGGTAAAAACAGCTAATGAAAATAGAATATTACATATACGCATTGGAAAAAGGCACTTGTCGCCTGGCTCCACACTCGTGTATATCGTCGAACTTATACATTTTTTTTGTTCGTATTTTGTTCATGTCTCCGGACGTTATTACCTTGGATATTAATCATCGTTGCTAGAACCTTTTTGCGCATTTTGTCATTTTCAACGATGGCTCTCCACACCGAACGCTCTGCCTATGATTTTATCTTGCAATATACTTTTTTGTATATTTTGTGCACACCTCATATCGATTAGCGAGTATATTATTCAGAACCTTGATTTTGGCAGCGGAAAAGCGAAAAAATCACATCAAATGTGATCAAAAATATTTTCAATGTTTGATCACTTATAAAAGTACTTTACACAAGACACACACACACACATCATCATCATCAAAAGTGATTTATTAAATTTTTTGTCACAATTTTTTTTTGTTTTCGCTTATTTTTCCATCGGACTTTCATTTTGTACACACGCAGTTGTCTCATGCCCACTTTAGCCTCTCTCCAAACTCATACGTGTTTGTATGATTTATTAAAAAAAATCACTTCACCCATGTAATGAGTAATGTGGCATTTTTCGATTCATAAATAATTGAACTAAGGAATTAATACATCTTTTTTTTTCTTTAATTTTTCAATCTGTCGGAGGTGAGATTTTTCTCATAACACGTCGCACGAATCATATTTCAACTGAAAGGTGAGAGACTTCAAGACAAACTTGGCCGTGCTCATACCATTTCAGTTCTATAATCACCAAACAAAATCTATATCAAAGTGAAGATAGTGATTTGGTGCGTTGTCGCTCGTATGATAAGTTAACATATCAATTTTCATATAAGCAAACACCAGAATCACGATTTTCCTTCAAACAATGACTTCATTTAAATGTGCCTCACCAAACTCAAATTCAAATCAAATGATTTCGGTATGAAACGTATCCAAAAATTAGCGAAACACTTTGAATGTGCACTTTGTTTTTCGTTCTTACAAATGACTTTCACTTCTGCCAATGAAAATGAATTATCTGTTTTTAACGTGGCAGCTTATAATTTTTTTTATTACAGACACATCGAATGCCATCACCTAGATCATTTCTCTTTTTTTAAATAATGTGCATATATCGTGGTGGTAATTCCGAAATATTGCGTTTGCCATTTATCGGTTGGCACTGGGTCTGTATCAGTTATGAGCGCATGAACAGATATCATATCGGATATACCGACGGTGTGGTTATTTTGAATAATTTCCTATCATGAAGCGAATTGTATATGATTATCTCGCCATAGATAGAGCCTTAAAATTGATTAAAAAACGAAAATTTGTTGTTGTACTTTGAAGATATTAAAAAACGATTTATCGGTGGAATTGATAAGATTTGCTGAACTCTGTGTGGATTTTTTTTGTCTGCTGTCTGTTCAAACAGCGGTTTAGTCGATATATAATATGGTTAGTTGTAGTTCTTATTTGGGTGGGTGAATGGCGCAAAAAAAAACTACTACAAGCAGTTTGTAGGAGGTTGAAGATAAATGTTTTTGCAATCTTCGACTATCTTAATATTATTATCGAAATCGATTTATAAACGAATCAACAAATAAACTTTGATTTTAGTTCGTGTTTTTTTTTTCGTACAAGTATTGTCAATATTTGGAATTTTTAAAATAAAACGTCTATTTCAGTAATAACTTTAATAAACTAACATGATCAGATTGAGTTTTGTCTATTTTAAATTTTTGGTTACAAACACAATGTGTTGCTAAGCGATCAACGACCAAAATGATTCTGGACGAAATGACGTCCTTCGATCATTCGAGATCAGAAGTTTATGCAGTTGTTTAAAAATGATAAATTCTTTTGTGTTTCGATAAAGATAAAAATGTAGATAGCTGGATGAAGAAGGTGCCGCCGAGAAAAAGGAACACCGCATAGCATGCTATAACAATCAGAGCGAGAGAAATCGCATTTTTTTCGTCTATCATAGTAAATAATATTATCGTTCGGAACAAAACATTTTAATGTATTATCTTATTATTATTATCATTTTCCGGGATAACGATTTTCGCTTGTATCGCCGTAGTACTGATGTCGTGACTCCATTTGGTTTCAGTCATAGGCCACGATCGTTGCATAGATTCTCGTGAAAATTTTATATCGTTTTTTTTTTGATGTTTTAAAATAAAAAAAAATGTTTGATCGGATCACTGATCATTAAATTAATAAGATTAAATACTATTGCTAAGTGTACAGTTTCTTGTGATAATAAAATCTACTATTAGAGTGAAAATAAGCATAAAAAATAGAAAAAAAACTTACCTTCGATGTACTGGTGTCGGTGGTGTTATTCGGAACTTTGTCCATTTTCACTTTGGTTGACATAAGAAATAGTTCAACTAAATAATGCAAACAAACTAACAAAAAATGTCGTTCACAAATTTACTCCAAGTGAAACTGTATTGAAATCGAAAATAATGTAATATAAAGAATTAAAATTCGACGTAATAGATCAGTGACCGAAAGATGTAAGTCACATCGACTAATGTTCAATAAAGTTCCAGTGAAATCTCGATCGTTTTCTTATAAACTGTCTGTGTTCATCAATACGACGAACGGAGAAAAAAATTGCAGGTAGTGAATGCGATTATGGCGCGTTGTTTTCAGATAGTGAGAGTCGAAATATTTCTGAAATATGAAATAATAATCCGATTGTTCACCGTTCGTATTTTCTATGATCCGTGTAGTGTTGTTCTCATTGTTGCTCTTGAAATTCGATGGGGTTGTCTCTTTCTGTCGTTTTTGGGATTCCAATTGAAAAAACATAAAAAAGCGCAATAAACACCAAAACAACGAAAATACAAATTGCTTTTATCTATATCACGCCTTCCATCGGCTTGCGATAAGATAACACATCAAGATTGAGCAAACATAAGCGCTCGCACCTTCATGTTCCATTATTACACGACCGCTGCTCATATAAACCATACCGGTGTAAATCAACAAACAACAAGAAAAAATATGCCATATTCGAACCTTTTTCCATGCATTCGCTCTGTCATATTTATTCAGGTTGATTTCTGAAATGCGGTTTGCCAAAAAAGTTACCGATTTTATGTACTCAATTAAAAGCAAAAAGGTGCTAGCGCCAAAAGTGCAACATTTTTTTTGTATTTTATAGTTTATTTAGATTATTTCAAATGATACATCCCATAGTTATAAACATAATTTTATTTCAGATCTCCTTTTTAACTATTTTGTTTTTTTTTTCAATTTCGTATACCAAAAAGTGTTAATCAATGTGATTTTTGATTTATTTCTACACAAATTGAGAAACAAAGATTTTACAATTACTAAATTTGACAATTTTTTAAAACAAATTTTTCAATTTAAAATAAAATCAGTGATGGTTTTTTCCTATCTGAATAGCGCTAGCTATTCGCAGCGTCTGAACAGCATTGCTGCCCAGATGCTGAATCGAACCGGTTGCCGCACGCGTTTTGTACCACACAACATATTGTCATATAGTCTAAGTAACCAGTGAGCTCACAGAGTATGATACACTAATACCATAGTCAGTATACAAACGCATGTCGAACAGAGAACGAACGCGAACTTATATGCTCTGTGTGGTACAAACGAATTGTGTTGCGCGTGCGGCAACCGCTACGATTCAGCATCTGAGCAGCAATGCTGTACAGGCGCTGCGAATAGCTAGCGCTATTCAGATAGGAAAAAACCATCACTGCATAAAATACAACGAATTTTTAACCTATAATGTTGACGATTTAAGCGATTTTGCAAATTGGATTGAGCATTCTACCATTTGAAGTCAATACAGTAAATAAAGATTTTTTATTTGAAGTCAATAGAAATTTAATAAAAATTGAAACAATTTTAATAATTCACATGATAATCTACAGTCTAATACATTTGTTTGTTTTATTTACAATCTGTTATTCATTATTGATGAATACTAAATGTGTCGAAATTTATATTGAAATTTAATTGTTTGTTGCATTTTTGTATCCATGATCTTCCTTTGTCATATCTGATCCTTTCTCGCCAATCATAATGCAAGCTGCTACAGTATTTCCTGATAAGGAATGAGGCATTCTGAAATGAATTAATTAATATTTAATTAATATAAATTAAAGAAAAAAGAATTTTCTTCAAACTTACATTCCTTCGTCCATTTGCCTCAAATTGTTAATATTTCGGACCCTTAAGCGAGGATCGACAACAGCATTCGGATCAGAATCTGGTCCCATTTTGGATGATTCAACCGGATGAGAATTGGTGCTTGTGAAATGTCGAATGTAGCATAGATAATAGTGATAATAGTCATTCGATGCGAATTCATGTTGATCACATTCGTCTATTGGAGTATGAATAAATTCTCCGCCATTTTCTTGATACGATTTGGTGGTTTCAATTTTTGTGGTGATTTCAATGAAATTTTTATTTTAAGAGTCGCAGCATACTTTTTACATCGTCAGTATCGTTCTTTCAGATCTTTTGGCCCAATTCCCATTGCGTAAACCATTAAGTTTAAGGATGAAGTGCCGCCCAACATTCGACCCTGAATAAGTGAGCATGTGCCACTCGCGTACGCCTGATATACTACATCCGGTTCCATAGTATAGTTCCAGTCCTCTTTCGTTCTGTAAACATTTGAATACAGATATGGCACCTACGTTTAAGAAGAATTCAACTATTTAGTTCATTGTTGTTAAAAAAAGGCTCCAAAATCTTAATAAAAAAAATGTTCGTCTGAAAATGTATTAAGTAATCTACTGGAGTAATTTTTTACCTCAGTTTCCATCGGTGGATCACCGCCAGCTTCAAGTAATAGAACTCTTCAATTTTCATTTTCACTCAATCGATTTGCAACAACACTTCAAGTACTTCCTCCTCCCATGACAATGAAGTCATAAGTATCCAAACCTAAATTAAAAAATAATAATTAGAAGATTTAATTTTAATTTTCGCCAAAAAAGTGAAGAGCAAAAAAACGATTTTATCCTCATTTCCTACAAACTGTTGACATCGTCAGGGACCACCATGGATTTTTCCAGGGACCCCCTACAGAATTTTACCATCACCCACCTCTCTCCCTAAAATTTTTTTCGTCATCATCTAATCAGAGATGTGTACGAACATACATATTCGTGTTCGTTTGTGTTCGTTCGTGTTCTTAACGAATAAGAACGAACACGAATAGGAAAAACTTTCGACGAACGAACACGAACGAACGCGCCTCTCTCGTTGAGAATGCGAACGAACACGAATAGGAAAATTTTTCGACGAACGAACACGAACGAACGGGCACCTCTCTTTGCGAATGCGAACGAACACGAATCACGATAAAATCACGATTTTATACGAATACGAACACGTTCGCTTTCAGTTCAAGATTATATAAGAAAAAGAATAAAATATACGATTCTGTTCTCTTGAAAAAAAAAAAATGTCTCTTTTCAATAGTCCTTCCCAACAGCGAAAAAATGGAGCAGCGAAAAAATGTTTATTGTTTCTTTTAGTCCTGCAGGACTAATTGAACGTTTTAAAAAAAAATGCAACAAATCACCTGAAAATGAGAAAACTTTTTCAAGTTTAATTTCCTATTTTCAGATGATTTGTTGCATTTTTTGTTCTCTTTATTCATCACAATAGTTTATTTTACAATTTTTTCTTAAAATTTAAACTAATCAAAAGAATTTCTTAACAACATAATATCATTCACTACATCGGGCTTTAGTCGAGATCTTTTTTCGTTAATAATATTGCCTGTGGTTGAAAATGTTCTTTCGGCTTTTGTCGCAGCCGCAGGCAAACAAACTGTGTTCATAAACAGTTGAAAAATGTTAGGAAAATCTTTTCGGTGAGTATTCCACCATTCATATATATTGAATGAATCAGTTGTCTCATCATCTGACTGGTTACAATGAAGTAAAAAAAAAAATTTAAAATGTGAATTTATTTTTATGAAAATTTCTATAAATATAAAAAAAAATAATCGTAAGTACTAGCGTTACGTACCAGCGATACGTTGAAAGCCAAATAATTTGTAATTTCATTTCGAATATTATTGTCTGATGTGCCTACATTATGGTCGAAGAAATTTTCATACAATGATTGTCGTGGATTTGGTGTCGTTGTTGTTGTTGTTGGCAATAATATTTCCGGTTGAACACTTTGAGTCGCATATTCTGTTAAGTATTTTTCCATTCTTTCTTGTGCCGCCTGGCGAATATCCAATTGATCAGCCAATGAGGTGAAATTCAATGCTATTTTTTTAAACATAAAATGGTTTCAATTAAAAATGAAAATTTCTTTAAAAAAAAATAAGAAAATTTTCATTACATTTCATTAATGGGTTGACAAAACATGCTAATTTATGCTCAATGTGAGGCCTGAAGTCATTTACATTGTCTTCGATGTATTTTCGACCGGCAGTTTTCATATCAGCTATTAGCGGTAGTGTGTCTGGCGATTCGGCCAATGCCCGTATAATAATGTTATATGTAGGCCATACTTTATGTAAGGTTATTTCTTTTTCGTGTTCAAGATTTGTGGTTAATTGTTTAAAAAGTTTCAGAAATTCAACCAATTTGGATAGTGTATGTCTATTTAAACATGTTAACTTGGAAACATAGACATACTTCTTTGTTTCAAATTCTTTTTTTGTAATAAAGCAAGAACTTCATTGTATGAATTTTCGATGGACTCCAACATAAAAAAGACAGTATTCCAACGTGTATCGACAAAACTTTTTAGAGTCTTTTTTAAAAATGCATTCATACCAGAAGATTTCATATATTTTGCAAGCGATGAAGCATCTTTGATAATTTCTTGAACACTTTGTACCTTATGACACATTGTAGACACAACATTGTTTATTAGATGACAATAACAGTTAATACGCGTCTCACCATTTTTGGAGAGAGCTAAAACAACGTTCTCATCTATGCACATGACACTTTTGCTAATCCATATTTATACTATTTTTATTTTTATTTATGTCAGCAATAAAGTTTTTAACTTGGTTTAAAATGAAGAGAGCAAAGGCCTGTATACAACAAACATCTAAAAACTTCGTACAGTAATGATGTCACAAAAATAAACTAAACAGACCATTTTTTTTCATATTTGTGTATCAAGATTACATTAATCTACGTGCACGTGTCTCACCTAGGTCATAGGAATATATGAAAACTTACCAAATATCACAAAATTTGCACGAATTCTTACGCTGTTCTGACGACCGCTGCTTATATGAACTATACCGGTGTAAATCAAGGGACTAAAATCAAGAAAAAAAATGTGCTTGCGCTAAAAATGCAACATTTTTCGTATTTTATAGTTTATTTAGATTATTTCAAATGTTACATCCCATAGTTATAAACATAATTTTATTTCAGATCTTCTTTTTTACTAATATATATTTTTTTTAAATTTCGTATACCAAAAAGTGCCAAATTTTCTTCTACTTATTTACTAACAATTAATCAAAGTGATTTTCATCTCTATATGAAAATTGAGCAATTTTAACTTTTTTTATATTAACAGATACAAACTTATTTTTAAGTCTTCCGACTGAAACTCGCACAAATAAAGATTTTATAATTACTAAATTTAACAATTTTTTTAAAACAAACTTTTCAATCGAAAATAAAATGTAACGCAATTATTTTGCCAAGAAAAATTGCAAACGTTATTTTCTTTCGTTCTCTTCTATTTTTTCTAAAATTAACATCAAATTGAATTATGAAATGGAAAAGAACTGTAACAGATTGAATAGCAAAACATTCGATTCGATTGTTTGATTCTATTCAATTTGTAGAATTTTACAAAAAGAAACACTTAAAAAACGATTACATAAACGTATACAATATGTGTGCAATTACCGAAAATGGTAACACAAAATGAGCATTAACATTTGGAAAGAAAAAAAATCGAATCGAACAATTGTTTGTTCTCACACTAATTATGCGATTTGCGTGCGCATATGTGTGTGTGTGTCTCGTTATTTGGTACGCTAGCGTAGATTTGATAAAACTAATAAAATTGAATGTGGAGAAAGAATTTGCCCAAAGCTTAAACGCTAATGAACTAGTTAACTCTTGTCCTTATTCCATTTTGATGTTAACGACCGATGGACGTTCGAGATTGCGTGAAACGATTTGAGATTGAAGTTCACGTTCATCATCAATAGATGGGCTACGACTGTGTTGGTTCATGTGTGTCATTTGTTGATGCTGCGAGTGAATGCTGTGTGGTGAATGTGGCATTGCCTCGACTTTAACTTCATGGTCAGCCAATAAACTGCCCGGCGTTAATGTGTAATATGGTGATGATATCGGACTGTATGCGGCTGATGAATACATTTCGACCATTGCTTGAGATTGTGGCACACTAACATACGGTGGCAAATAGCTTGTGGCACGAGTATTGTTCATTGATGTGTTTGGTGTGCTGTTGGTGAAAATTGGCGACGGAATTTGTCCAGAGTACGATCGTGGTGACAATGGAGGTGTTTGATTGCTTGTCTCGACTTGCGATACTGAACCATTGATTGACGGCGGTGAATTTTGTGCATGAACAATTGCCGTCATCGGTTGATTAAGAGAGGCTGTCAAGCTACGTAAATCTACAAACGAAATTTAATGAACAAAACATTTATAAAAGATTCACATGGGAATTATTTTCGATTCAACTTACCATTTGCCGATTCGAGGAGAATTGAATTGTTGTTGTTATTATTGGTGCTGCTGTTGTTATTGTTGTTGATATTTGAGTTACTTGACCGTTTTGTTGATGCGCCATCACTACTTTTGCTACCCTTTGGTTTGCGTTTTCGTGTCTAAAGAAGAAAAAAAAGCGAAAATTTAGTAAAAAGGATTCACGAAATGAAAAGTTTACGAAAAAAATGCAATTGAAACGCTTTTCGTTCGAAAGCTTCGTAAGCTTTGGAGAAAACCTTTCAAATGTATTTTTTTTGTGTTTGACTTCGAAAATGACTCAAAACTATGTGGTTTTTTACTCACTTGAATGGTATCTTTTTTCATGGCCTGCGGCCGATTTACATTGTGCAGCTTGTAGTACAATCCGCATGCATTGCAGACTGGTTCACCGTGTTGATTTCTACGCCATAACGATGTCTGATTTGTCTGGCAATTCGAGCAAAGCAAACCACTGCGCCGATTTGCACTCTATAATTAACGCAGATGAAGAAAAAAAGAACTCTATGTTAGAAAATCAACTTTCAACAAGTGTTTTTTTAAATATAACATGTGATCATATTTCATGTTGTGTGAACATGTTTTCAACTCAAAACAACAACAGCAACAACAACAAAAATTGTTGTATTTTTTTTGAACAAATTTAGAGTAGGATATTTCATGGGTGTTGAGTGAGAGGTTGAATGTTAACCTACCAGGCGTCTGTTGGATTTTTCTTCAGTTGGTCGCGGTGTAGTTGTATTTTGACTATATTGATATGACGTATATGGACCTTTATAGAAATCCCCGCTTTGTTCGGCAGCCACTGCAACAAACAATTACAAAAACAATAAATTTTTCAGTTTTTTTTTCAGTCAGGTCGGTGTGAGAGTGTTCAACATCGATCAATATGTAGCTAGCTGCATTTCGATGAGATGAATATGAGATTCATCGTCATCACTTCGCAGCACAAAAAAAAATTGATAATCTAATTTTTTAATTTGCAAATCTGGATTTTTCCAAAAAAAAAAAAAAAATGAAAATATATGAAACAACCAACGATTTATTTTGAATTTAAATTCGAAACCATAATCAAACGTCAATCATATTCTCTGCATAATATTCAAAATTCCGGGTGGGAATTTCGATTAAATCATCTTAAACTGTCACAAATGTTCAACAAATTAGAAATTAAAGTGTTCGGTATAACAAAATGTTTGGTGAGCGGCTTGCCGATGTGGTGGATTTCTATAGTGTGTCGTGCGTCTACAAAATTTCTTTTTTTTTCATTTGCATTTTTTTTCTTTTGTTTCGATTAAATAACAAATTACTCATAAAATTGACCAGCTAAACTCAATTTAAACGGTGTATTTTGTAAAGGTCAAATTTCGGAATTGCATTATTTTTTTTAAATGTGCAGTGACTTTATTTATGAATGAATGAGTTGGAATTGGAGTTGGAATTGTGTTAAAGTACGCCTTTTTTGAATAGAAAACACGTTCATTGAAATATGATCATGAATATTTAAACAACAACAATAACAAAAAAAAAATAAAGAGAACAAAAAGAGACTCATTTAAGAAAATACCAACCAAAAGTGAATTCAATCATCATGTCAACCACATACACCATCAATGCATGTGATGTGAACAATTTATTTTTTAATTTTGCCCTTTGCCACATTTTCTTAAATTGATGCATTGAACGAATAAACAACAACAACAAGAAAATTTACCAATCGTCGCGGCTGTTTAACTAACGGTCGATTCATTCCGTTCATTTTATGATAAAGACCGCAGGCATTGCATAAATAATGCCCGGTTCCGTCTCGACGCCACAATGGTGTTGAAATCGCACCACAATTCACGCACTCACGACCTTCCGTAAATATATCAGCATCTAAGCCTACTTGCATACGAATTATAATAAACACCAATGATTCGCTTTATATGTCAACTTTGTCTAAATTCTTGTTTTTTTTGTGTGTAAGTATAATTGGATTCATTAGAAATACCCGGATTTAGAAACAGAAGGATAGGAAAACACGAAATGCAATGAATAGTTTAGTTAATGCATGAAAACATATTAGACAGACGCACACACACCACAAATGGATTTCGACAATGATAAAAAGATGGTATGGTAAGTTTTGAGGTAAAAATGATCGGTAGTTGCAAAATTGCATGCGACAACATATGTATATAGTACTAACGATAAGAATGCACGCTGGCAGTAAAAAAATCTTTTTTTTTATCATACGTCTCTGTTAGGGAAACTCATTCAATATAATCAGTCTGATATGTTTGTGTACACTTCATTGTTTATCGGCCGACTGCACCACTGTTCGAGGTAGCCGGAAATGCAATAAAACTGTAAGCAACAGCAAACATAAACAGTAAATAAAAAGGAAGCGAACCGCACTCGAATGACAATTCCTTTGAGTTTTATGAACTTTTGTTGGCCACAAGACATGGTGACGCGTTTTCTTTTTCATTCTTTCCATTTCTTTCTATAGAAAATTTAAACGATTAAGTAGTCTTTGACGTTGGAGACACATTAAATGACAGGCAAAAAGAACTTAATGAAAAAAAATGAAAAGCTTAATGTGTTTTCGCCACCAGCCGTCGATACTATCTATTTTTGGGTATGGAATAGAATGGAAGAAAATCGCCTTCGGTGAAAGGAATGCCCAAAATCACATTAGGTCAAACGAAAACACAAACACATTAGAATGAGATCATCCAATTTGATTTCATTTGGATCTTATCATAGTAAGCAATTTTGTTTTAAAAAAATAAAAACAAATACAAAAAATAACCGAATGAAGCGTGTAACCAATACTGTTTTAAGCCAATGTTTTTTTCCTCGCGTCTAACTGTTAATCTTTCCACGGGCGAGAGTCCAAATAATATTTTGTTTCTTTATTTCGGTTCATTCATTCGACCTTTCGAAGCAAAAAGCCATTAAAAACAATTTTTTTTGTCATTTTTTTTTTACTCGTCTGAGATCGTTGTTGCCGTCTATTCATTGGTTTGACATTCCTTGTGGTCATTTGAAACGAAAAGAAAACATTGAATATGTCAAAATACGGAAAAATTGAAATCAACTTTGGATCAGTGAGATCTGTATTTATATTTGAACGATAATACAAGTGAAATGAAAATTAAAAACGATGATTATTTCGCTTTCAAACATCTCGTCGAAAATCCTGATAAGCATAGGTCAACAAGTGAGCTTGACATGTGTGTGTGTGTATTATGTAATCACAAATTAAATAAAAATTTATTCATTTACTTTGTTTCTGTGTTCAAATCTTTCTGTGGATCGTTCGCTTTGAATAACAGTAAAAAAGATGAATTTTAGTTTATCATGAAATGAACAAAAAGCAAATTAAATGAACATACCCCAAGCACTAAATATATGCAATCTGACTATAAATTCATGGTTATGCTGATAATATAATATGTTTTTTTTTTTGTTTCAAAACGCGTATCACTCGGTACACACTTGGTACGAATGGGCGTTTCATGATAAATAAATTATAAAAATGAAAATGTGAGATGATGTGACTTGTGCAGATGTTGATGACGTGAATATGATTTAATCGTTTTATTTTTTTTTAGGTTTAAATGCAGTTTAAAATTTAAATTGAAAAAAAATCATTGTTTCTCAAAATTTATTAGTGGAAAAACCCAGATGAACAAGAAGAAAAAATGTCACTGACTCATTTGAGTCGATTTGCATTTTTTTTCTCTGATTGATTGTTTGGAATGAATTGAATTTATTTCGAAAATTTAACTTACTTGCTGTGAGTGAAGCAGCGGCTGAAATATGAGATCGACGTACGGCCACACTGTTTGGTGGTGATGTAGCATAAGCAACCGGACTTGTTTCATAGGCGCTTGGCCATGTTTCGTTCTGTTTATAAAAGAAAAACAAAAAAATTTCAAATAAATTGTCATCATTTTTGTGTGATTCAAAATAATTTTGATGGCTTAATCAATAAAAGTGGCGAATGAATAAAATAAATAAGAGTTTTCTTACCACTTGTGAAGTATAGTTGATTGTTCGTCCATTTGAATAGTACGAGTTGGTTAGCCGTTGAAAATCGGGCAGCGCTCCACTCTTTGGACGATCAAATTCTTCATTGTGCGCACTCGTTGACCACATTTGTGATTCGGTTGGGCTTGGATTGAAGTAATGCAAATTACTTGATGACGGTGTGTATGTTGTACGCGTTGGAAATACAGGACTGAAATAAGAATGAAAGAAATATGAATTTTATGCATACAATAAAAAAATTTCTTCAATTGTTTGTATAAATAATAAAAACACTTGTGAATATCGTTTTCGAAAGGAAGAGAGCAAAAAAAGCCATATAAATATGCCAACAATCCGACCACCCATACAAATGAACGCGATTCGATCACACTTGTTCGTATTAAATGAACGGTACATATCAAAACTATATCATCTTAAAAGTCAATATGCGCAACGTAAACGGTAAACAATGATTGAGATCGGTCGTACGAAATACAACAAGAATAAAAAAATGTGCTGATTATCTTGATTCGAGTTTTCGATCGACTTGAGACGTGTTTGCTTTTGTTATGATTTTCATTGTTCTTTTTTTTTCTTCTCTTGTGTTTACTTGCAATCACGCGCTCTCTTTCGCACATTCTGCATTCTAATGTGAAAGTGTGTGTCAGTCGGTGCTGCGCACGTCGCTGCATGTTTACAGGCACTCTTTGCAACAGAGAAAAAAAAACTGAAACAACCAAACATCAAATGGCATCCTTAAGGCATAAAATAAACAATGAATGTCTTTATAATATTTTCGATTGAAAATAAACACTGGCTGGCAAACGCGGTGACTGGCTCACTGAAAATGATTCATTTCGAAATCGTGGAATTTCTGTGAAAACAACAGAAAAATGCTCGGAATGCTTATGAAAAAAAAAGTTACGATCGATTTTGGACACCGTTAGGAATTTGTCTCATTAAAATAATATAAATGCAACAACCGTTTGCACACTTTCGCCAGACTTTTGTCGCCAGAACATGTTCACTGCATTTCAATGGGTAAAAATTATTATTTTAATCAAATGAGAATATTGATCTTGAATATTATTCCATCGAAATTTTTGAATGCGTTGATATCGGCTATTTTGCGCCATTAATTATTGCACAATCTCGTAATTTTTATTGTCGAAAACATGACCTTTATAAAAGGTGTCACATAAAAATTGAATAAACAGATAAAATACGCGCTTTTTTCTTCTTTAAATATGAAAACAACAGTAAAAATAACTTGACAATTAAGTGAAGATAGTAATCTTTTTTTTAAAGAAAAATATTCACAAGAAAAAAACTTAAGTGAATCACTTAAAGGACAATTGCATGAACTAAGAAACCTACTAATGAAAACCGTGATCCATGATTGAGCTTCCGTTTAAAATCGAATAATCGAAAGTATTATTTGCACTTTTTTCCAATTGCATCGAAACAATTAAAAGAACAACATCAACAGCAATCAAAATTCACCACAAATCAAAGATAAAATATTGAACACGAAAACTTGTGAAATACTTGGCTATCCACTCATCTAAACGATCAAACGTTGAATGAGAGATATGAAACATTTGTATCGAGCAGCTCGTTATCCATCTATGTGTCGATCACACATACGACAATACACACATACAACGATACACTGCTGGCCGAGAGCAACAGAGCGACCAGCGCATGCATAAGCGATTATGTTTGGGATTAAATTTCAGTGTAGAGCAGCCTTCGAAACCGAAGCAAAAAAAAACAATGCTTTTGGGGAGTTTCGACTCCGTGTTTTATAAGCCGTATTTCATTTAGTATGCGTAACGGATGATGAAATTTCAAATACAATGATGAAAATTTGAATCAGCCCACGCATGCACACAAGCGAAACAAAAATCTGAACTAAAATCTTATAAGTGATTTGAATCTTGTAATATGTAGATTCAAAATTCGGAAGCGTGCGTTGATATTTTGGACAATTCGCACGTGTGTTTGAGCTGGCGCATCGTAACGGCAACAAAAAAAGTTAGCGAAGCAACAATAGAAAAGAAAAGAAGTGTTTGTCATTCGACATTATGTGAGCATCAGATTGTGTTATTTAGAACGGTGTTGTTTTTTTGTTTGCTGTGAGTTTGCCTTTTGGATTTTTGTTTGTTGTGAACAATTTATAAGCACGATATTATTCAACAAAGGTGCAAAGCGCACAAAATACGAAACGACGATCAAAGCGACGATGGTTTTGTTTATGTTTTGAAATTCAGAGTGCAGTCACCATAAATCGACACGAACACCTGAGCACATGGCAAACATGCACAATAAAACATCGACTAATATTTCACAATTTAGTGTGAAATTTGAACTTCTAAACGCGACTACATGGTTTTTTCAGCAAATTCATTTGCAAAACCATTGTTATGAATTGAAAGGCACATCAAGAACGTTACGATTTGTGTGCTGTTCGAATTTTGTCGATTTTACGTCAGTTCAATTTTAGTCATATTCTCACATCGTTTCCTTGTAACTAACATTCAAAACGACAATTTTTTTTTTCAATACAAACGTTTAATAGAACTATAATGCGATGACGACAACGACATATGCACATACACACGAAAAAAAAAGTGTCAAGACGAACAAGAGAATTAAAATTGAAGTACGAGTGCAAAATGTGCTCTGCTGTTCGATTTAATAATAATTGTTTTTGACACTGGTGTTCATTGTTTACTGTTTATACGTTGTTCGCTTTTCAAACAGACTTTTGCATAAGAAACAATTAATTGAGCGAAAATATTCTCATTTCTCCGAAGAAATATCGAGGTTGATGTTTGATTTGTTTTTCTTCGTCTTTTTTTTTATTCAATGTAAATTTGAACCAAAAATAAAACATATGCACAAATGATTTGAAAAGATGACGCTCAGTATAACAAAAAGAAATATTGATTAAGTTCACAATAATTTTTATTACTTTATTGAATGCAATTCAGAAAATTTGCACTGACGCATTAATAATCACACCATGTAACGGTCGATTACAATTCGATACTGAAAAAATGATCGTGACGATCCGAACGTTTTTACCAAAAATTATGCACTACATTCAAGTGCGTCATTTGAATATGCTTATAATTGTATTTTATCGATACAAGCGGCATTCTATTTGGATACAAATGGTGAAACGAATAAAAAAGATAGTGAAGAGAGAACGATGGGGGAGAGAGAGAAGGAATTGTTCTTTGCTGATAACAATTTACCACTAAACATACAAGTTGTTAAACAAAGTTGAGTCGAAATTGTAACATGAATGACTAGTATTTGCCGTGAGGTCATTTACACCACCTGAAACCATTTATACGATCTAAAACGGAAATGTACCGATGAATTGATTTCTTTTGTGATCGATGCGAAACGCAAACAAAGACACATTATAAATAAAAAGAATGGTTTCGATTAGTGACTTCGAGCACTTCTATTTTTTCTCATCGTCAAAACAAGTTTCGAGAATTGCTTTTGTTTATGTTGATCGATTTTTTTGTAATTTTAATTGCATCGGACGGTGGTGGCGGTAATTTCAACAAGGTTTACTTTACATTCACGATTTTTGTTTGCAACCGGTTTCTATGAGACAAGTATTTTGGCCGAAAGTACGGCAATGAACTATTTTTTTTCTACACCCCGTACCGACGTGATTTTTCGGTGAAAACTGGATATCTTTTTTTGAACAAAAGGCGGTTTGGTGCAATTTCTAATATTTTCAAAATCAAGAGCTGTGTTTGTGCGTGCTGATGCAAGGAGCAAACATGTATGCCATCATTTCATTTTAATATGAAAATGAATAAAATTCATTGTGGGTGTTAAAGACGATTCTGTTCAAAAATTATTCAACGAGACATGCGTGTAAGTGACTGACACCACGTGCGATATACATTGATCGTATTTCATGCAGAACGAACGACGAAACAATACGGTAATGATGACAATAATGCCATAAATTTATAATAACTGACCGAAGATTCCAAACAATTGCTTGCACACAGAAAATGTATTGCCCATAAAATGAAGTAATTGAAACACAAACGAATGAAGGCGAGAAAGAGAGAGAGAGGGAGAGAGAAAGAAAAATACAGAGCGACAAAAAAAACATTCAATAAACAAAAACATTCGTTTGCGTATGCAGATGAAGCGCTCCGTTTGCGTTCGGTGCAATTTTACTTTAGAAGAAAATTCATACGATCAAAGAACACGTACCGAAAATGACATAAGAATAAATGCACAAAACCGAACAAACACACCGTATATTGCACACTCCATCGGAATGTTATTGTTTTATTTTATTTTTTTATTTTTTTTTCGTTTCTGAAGCATAATTGAATATGTAATGAAAATTGTGTCTGCTGGCTGACTAAGCATGATCATTGGACACAGTACGTACACTCGCATATGTGTGTATATGCACTAACGTTGCACATTGTACTCATTCATACCTAGTACTTTCCCTCAGCCAAACGATTTGTCAACGCATAAGGGCATACCTGCATCTACTTTGTTCTATACGTATACCGTTTTCGTGCCATTGCCAATCGTCTGGTTTTTTCTCTTTTTCTTAAATGATCTATCATAAATGTATGGATTTATTACGGAAAAAAAGGTCTATGGCTAGGTAATTTGGGAAAAAAAAGGAAGGAGAATAACAGACGATTGACAATGGTATATAAAAAGTTTTTGTTGATTTTAGAAAATACATTTTTTTTTTTTGCACAAAAACGAATGCCTAAAATAGCAACTAATTAGATCAAAAATCACATAACATCTCACAACACAGAACACACTCATAAACATAATTTATTTATGGCATGCTTCGAAACATATGCAGCAGTGAATTCGAATTTTCGCAACACACGCAAATTTGCGACCAAAGACATTTTTTTCGGGACTATGAGTTTCTTGTGTGCACATTATTTTAGTGTAAAGTGACATTTTTGGGATAAACAAATGAAATCTGCGAGCAAAAAATACAGCGTTTAACTGTTGGATTTTAACAAAAAGGGCGTATGTTGTGTTTATTTAGAGGCGAAAAAGTAACAACAAAATTGCTATGAAACCAATATATTTATCACGGAATGAAATACGCGATTCAATGTGTGAATGTTGGTTTGCTGGCTTTTCAGCTTTCCATGCGATCGAGATAAATTTGATAAATTTTTTGTTATGGCATTTAACGGTTGAAATATTGAAAATCGCCCCTTTTATGATTGACCGCGCACAAGCACGTCAGAACAAGAATGAAAAGAGAGAGAGAGAGTAGCTTTTAATTTTGAAATTTCGACGAACTGTTTATTTATCGCAGAACATATGTGTCAGATTAAGAGCGATCACATAAATCAGAATTATTATTAATTATGTTTTGACACTATGCGCCGTGATAAAAAAAACAGGCACCGGGGACATTTAAAGGAGTCAAATTTCACTATTTTAAATAAAATTATGCAGAATTTATCAGATTTCTGAATGAAACGGTCGAACTGAAAATCGATTCGATGCTACTAATAATAAGGAGTCCATAGATTACGAAAAACTATATGTGCCAGACAATTTGAAATCATCATTTCGCAGAAAATTTATCAGCGAATGAAGAAAAAAAAGAGAAGAACATTGTTGACGTAAACAATCTATAAATGTAGCGAATGACACAGAAATGACACGAAGAGATCAACAACAACAAATTATATGAACGAAGATAACCTGATGTACACAGAGCACGATGCGTCCAGAATCATTTCACTTTTATTTATTTCTGAATGTGTTTTATCAATAACGATGGAACCAATGGTCGATCACTTTATTATTGTCGAATGAAATGAGAGATTGAAATTGAGCATTGAGAATAAACACAAAAAAAAATTGTATAAACTTTTGACGCGTGGAATTTTCTTTTTCAACACATTTTTTTTGGCACTTTTTTAAGGCATGATCTTAAATATTAAACAAATTTTTGAATGGCTCTTTTCGACTTCCCGCACAAATCACTCTGAACATTTACCAAAAAAATAATAATAGAAAAACAAATGAAACACATACCTGCCGGGTGTAGCTGGATGCAAAACACTTTCGTACGTTTGAATAGGATGGATGATTGCAGATGAAGGGGCAGCCGATGTATTTGGTGTGAAAAGTGTGGTTCCACTGTATACACTGTCGCGATTCAACACGGATGGACTGGTATCGGTGGCATTGGTCAAATGTGTAAAACTTTGCAACCCTTCATATTCATCATGGTGTGTTAAATGATTGTTATTTGGGCTACGTGAATTATTTTCACCATCATCACTATTTGCAGCCGAATGATTTCCATTGTAGTTAACATTTGCGACAAGAACACCATTTGAATTATTGTTTATTCCGTCGATCATTGTGCAGTGTTCATCTTTAAGTGTGTCGGCAATAACCTCATCGATCGTTGTTGCTCCAATTGGACGATGTGAAACGACTTGATGGTAATGATTTGATGGCGGTGATGATGATGAAGTGACGGTTGTGTACGGTGAATACATGTAGATTAAACTGCTTCGCAACAACGCTGTATCTGAACTGGAAACTGGCGAATTTTGATCATGGTAATGATCCGATTCAATCAACGGCTGAATCGAATGATGTGAATGATGTTGTTGCAATACCATGTCACTGCTGTTATTGTTGTGAATGTTGTTGTTGTTGTTATATTTTGACGTGAAATTGCTTGAATCGCGGCTATTTTTCAAATTGGAAGACAGCGACGACGACGACGAAGACGATAACGCGTACAATAAAGGCGACGACAATGATAACGATATAGTTGACGTTCTGGAGATATTGTTATTTGTTTCGGCCACAGACGACGATGCTATGGTATGCGCTGATGCAGATATGTTGTCACTCGCTTGCGTGATTATTTTTGAATGATTTGCTTGGAAGTTATCGCCACTGGTTTTATATACGACACAACCATCGAGCAACGGGCTCGTACTGCTATTCAAAATTACTGTGTTTAGTTCACAGTATGATGTTTCAGAGTCCGTTTCTATTTGCACCGAACAGAAAAAAAAAGAGAGAGCAAAAAAACATTGAAGTAGAAATGAAAGGCAAAGAAAAGAAAAGAAAAAGAGAATAACAATTTTTCCGTTCCGACCATATAGCTATGTTGAATAACATCAAATACACACGCATTCTCGCTCTGTCTCTCAATTATAATAAAAAAGAACACACACATAAAAGGAAGCACCAAAAGAGCGTGCACAATCAACAAAAAATATTGGTAAGACAAAGATGTGAAACATATGAAACAAGAATTGAGCAAATAGAGAAGAAGAAAACGAAACTCACAATTTTATAGGCAACCAGTAAATGGTGTTGAGAACGATCGAATAAGCAAGACAATAAATATATTCGGAAAGCGTCAGAACCGAAAGAGACAGAACCATCGACTACGAAAGAAATGAAGAAGAAAAATGTACGTAAGAGCGGGGAGAAGGCAAACGCTGCTCGGTACTTGAAAACAATACAATGTGCATGTGAAAGAGACAACCATACAAAACGGCAATGGGAAAGGCAATGGTTCAAAATTATTGTTTCATGCATGTACATTTTTATATGCTATTGTCTTTTTTTCGCCCATTCAGCAAGTGCTGTTTCACGTATTGGAGTGAAAGAGACCAAACGATTTGTTCAATTTGTAAAAAAGTACGGCCCAATCGCAAAGGCTATTTTTCATTGCTCATACAATGTATGAGCTATATTTCTTGAATCACGACGATCATTCGATCTTTTTATGGTCATAAAATTGAAACAAATTTGAGACAATGCTTTGAATTTGTTTACAGCTAGAAAAATATAACTTTATTCATAGATTTGTATTTTGGCATCAATATGAATGAAAGAGATCGAACGAACATCCAAACATTTGATTAGGATAGCATTTTGTTTTTGTTTTCTCACTGTCCTTTACATTGTTTTTAGTTTTCTTTGTTATTTGGCCAACCACTTAGAATGTGTGAAATAAATAATAATTGTCGATTTCATTCATTCTTTTCTATTTTTTTCACATGGTTTTTGTGGTATTTGTTTATAAATTGCCGTCTAAACAAATCCAAAAAAATATTTTGATCCATTTTGTTGATCGGCCGAAATCTTGCTCGTAGCAGCTATATTTTACAACCTAAATAAATAAATTCAGTATCGAGGTGTTTTTTTTTGCCAGCGCAAATTGGACGCACGCACCAGTGTACTTTTGAATGAAGCATCTTACTTTTTTTGTTTGGTTTGCACGTGGCAGCATTTGCACTTTGGCAAATAGGAAATTAGACAATTTTATGATTTTTTTTTCTTTTCTATTTGTCATACGCATCTGGCGGTATAAATAACATTGCGTCTTGTTTTCTTTGACCAAAGTAAAGTGATTCTTTTCCGTTCCGTCGCCTTTTTGCACTTTGCCCAAGCAAACATACGAACTTTTTGAATTTTGGGTTCAAATGCATATGCAATTCGATACGCTACATAGTCTCCGAAGTTGTTGCAGGTAAATGAAAAAAGCCACCAAATTAAAATGCAATTCAATTCCATTAAAATGCAATGAAATGCTCAAAATGAAATTCACACTCGTTTCTACGCGTAAAGAGTTTTGAAAAACATCCGAAAAATTTAATTGGATTTTTAAAAATGCATAAAAATCCCATAAAAACTGGTGAAAATCCAGATTTCGGATTGCGGCTAGATTTGTTCGTCACTCAGCAGTTACAATGTTGTCGAAAACGGCAGTTCAGAAAAAAATGATTTTTACGATGCGTTTGAGCATTGTACATTGCTACTTAATTAACCGATTCGTTTTTTCCGTTCAAAGAAAAACTATCGAAATCGCCCATTAAAACAACTTTGTAATCAGACGAGAAAGTAATAAAACTGATTTCGTTAAGAATGGCGAGAGTCCGACAGAGAGGGAATCGAAACCGAAAAAATGTCGAAGCGTATAAAATGTGCATTTTTATTAGATTTTAACAACATTTAATGGATCGTTCATCATGTTCGAGCATCGAACCAGAGCATCAAGTGGAACTCCATAGCAGCAATTTTGGTACAAATGACATGAGTGTTTTTGTAATTTGATGCGGCATTTTGTCGTTTGCCTTCACACGCACAGACACAGAAACAAACAAAAAAAATATATATCATAAATAAAAATATTTCATATTTTCTCGAAAAGAGTGTAAGAAATTTTATGGCTTTTAAATGAGGAAAAAATACAGAAAATTTCGTTGCTATATCGATCCTTTTAGTTTTTTCTCTCCTTTTTTCCATTGGTATCTTCATTATTCTTCCTTAAGAGACTTTCACTCGCAACAAACACACACACACACACACTGAGCTCGCATCGTTTTCACATGAACCTCTTCACCACAATCTCATAATTCACAATGTGTTGTGAAAGCATAATTTTCATTTCGGTGAAACGAGTGTATAAATCAGTAAAATTGACCGAATGCATAAATACGCGCATGTCATCAGTATGCTTGACAAATCATTGATTTATGAAGTGCAACGAATCTCAGTCGGGTCATAGAAATAGAACAGTTTATACACCGAAATCAAAAATCTATGTGTTCAACGTATCAATTAGAAGTGAATTTCCACGGCTACAAAAAAACGATAAGCGATATAGGCTTTGTCGTCATCGACTCCAAATCGAAATTATCGCCGTCGACATCCCTTTAGCTGATATTTCACTAAATGTGAAACGTCGCACTTTACCGGCAAAACAAATCACGTGAGCAAATCGACTATTTAGCCGTCTGTTCATCACTGTTTGATTGTCGCATTTGCGCCGTGTGCAAGTTGTGTGTTTGTGCTTTGTTGTTGTTCGGTCGACTTTTCTGATAAAATTTAATCATTTGTTTATGTTTATGTTTTTATCAATCAAAATGTATAGTAAAAATTGGTGATAGCGTCGCGTAACTGTATTCAGTGCCAAACAAACCCGATAAGGTATCGAACGAATTTCTGTGTCTCGTGAGTTTTTCTTTTTTTTTCAAGTCTCAACACACTATGATTTCTCGTTACAATGAACTGATATCGGTTTTCTTCAACACCATAACACATACACAGACAGACCATATGATTTTTGTACTATAATTTTGCGATGACGGGCAATTGTTGTTCATTTACATAAACATAGGCATATACGTACGGCGTTTAGATAAAATTCAAACGTGTACAAATAAATGTTCAATTTTGCCCGGTTTTGTTGTAGTAAATACTTTTGCAACTTATCAATTTGAGCAGGTTTTTGTTTGGCATTTTGTTGTTATTATTCATTATAGTATTATCAGCGACGCCGATATTTTTACGCACGTTTAATTTTCGATTAAAATATAGTAGTAACGGAGCATTCACCACATGTGACAAGCATACTGATTGACAAAACTACAAACGCTTGACCGGGAAATATAATAGGTTTGTTATTCTTATTTGTGACACTTCCTTTTTGTCGCTCTCGTTCAGAGGATCAATGAGAACACATAATTACCGTCATCTTGAGAAGGGTTGACGATTTGTTGATTTTTTTACTTTTCAACAGTTCCGCTTGAAACAAACTCTCAAGAGATCCCATGATCATTTTCACATTAGTGTCACTTTTGGTCCGCAAACATACTTTCCACGTGTTAGAAATTTAATTTATCCAACAAATATTTGCGTTTGAAAAACAAATGCGTTCCAAACAGTCCGAACACGGTTTCCATGGAATTGTTTCACACCAAATTAGTCACATATAATTCATTCTTATCTTCGACTAAAAGAAGCCGCTTCTTCTTTGAATGAAATCAAAAGTGCGACGAAAAGTGAAAACCTGAACCGAAAATGTCAACGAATTTGTTACAACTTACTTTGAAATTTGCATAACATAACAATAGACATTTAACATTTCCGTTAAATTACGGTGACACTAATTTGAAGGGACAAAAAAAAATGATCGCATTGCTATTCATTTAAGCTTGAAGTATGGTGTTTTAAGCATTCTTTCTGACAGAAGTACGTTGAAATACACATAACAAAGTCATTGCACGATATGCGGCATTGTACACTTGGGGGGAAAATACATTTTATGAATTCAATTCACACAAATTGTCACACAAATAAACCTGTTAAACGCAACACATTCCCAAAATTGACCTGATTCAAGTGAATTCTAGATATTTTACAATGTACGTGATCAATAAATGCCATAAATATTTCACTCCATCGATTCAATGGTTCGACAAGAGTTCACTCCAAGCGTTAAAAGATTTATAGTATAAAAATATCATAAATTCTCTTGCATCGATGAACTATCAGTTTTGTTTTGCTTCAAAATGTTCTCTATTCTATATCTCTCTGTGTGCGTCGTTGATTTGGTGTTAAATTACAAAGCAAAAATAAATAAACAATTTCATTTATTTCTCTTTCTCTCTCTGTGGCTTTGTACAGCCAACAATTTCAAGTAGAATAGAATTTGTACAACGAAAGAGATTGCATAAGAAATTGCCGTTGAACAAAAAAAAAACCATATAAATTCGGCAAATTTATTTTGAGAATTTAAAATGCCACACACTTTAAACAATAACAGCAGCGTTGGAATATTTTAATTAAATTAAAACCATTTGCTGATAAGGATGGCGCATTTAAGTTGCATACGATAAACATTTTATTGATGTCACGCCCCTCAAGCATGCCGTATCGCTGTGCGCTTCAATTGCTATTGAATTCGATTCGAATTACACAGATCGTGCATGAATATTATTTTTCTTGTTTTGAAATGATTTACTGGAATTTTTTGTCGTTTGGAAAATTTTTCTACTTTTCAATTTATGTATTACGCAACACTTTCCGAGTGACAATCGAGAACATTCGCAACATACTCAGAACGTTCAACCACTGACATTTGGCGTGATCTTTCTCCGTTTAAAACTCAGTGACACTTTTGTTCTGCTACATTGCAAAAAGTAATGGGCACGCGCGAAAGAAAAATACAATTTTAATTCCAATTTTAGCACTGTAATCGACTTTAACTCGGTTTTAATTGATTCTCTTTGTGCAATATTCACATATGTTTTTTTTTCTCAGCTCGACCGGGCTGATAACGAGTAATGCGAAGAAGATGAAGCAAAAAAAATGGTCTCGTATGCTCTGTAACTATAGAGTGCCGATTTTTTTTTGTAAAATCTTTGCACCGCCCATTGAAAAAAAAAAACATGATTTCAATTCTAAAAATAATAACAACGAGCTGAAAACATTTCGATAAATAAATACGATACAATATCGCGTGGAAACTATTCAAGTCATTCAATATCTCGTTAAAACCATTTAAAATACGCATGTGCCATGCAAGCTTTAGAGATTATTAATAAAAAGCAAAAAAAGGACTGCACTCGTGAAATGCTGCTGTGAACATTTTTATCAATCTCCCGCAGTCTCCGATGGGAGTTTATATTAGATGCACACATGCCAAATGGCTTGAAACAGCAAAAATTAAGTTGTTGTTTTTTTTTTCTGGTGTGTGTGGCTTTTGCTTTTGAGAGAAAAAAAGCAGCATCTGAAATGGCTAACTTTGTTTTGATGTCGAATTCGACACTCGCACCATCCGCTCTCCGTTGAAAATGTGGTTGCTTTGAATGTCATAAATCACAGTTTGTTTGGTTTTCCATTGATCGAGCAGATAATGTTTGTTGTTGCAACAAGCAACAACGGTCTCAGGCACAAGTACGTGCATCGATTAATCCATACACCACAAGATTTCAAACCACACAATAAACGGCATACATTTGTTGTTTTTTTGTACTTCTCTTTTGTTGCATATTGTCCACACAATTTACATAAACCAATTTCCTTCGTCATCGATATGATGTCGTCGGAGACGAAAGGCAACAGATTAAATTGGGAAATTTTCAAAACTGATTTTGTTCAAAGAAAATAAACTCAACAGGGATTATTGTTGAAAAGGATTATTCATTTCGTGAGAGTAGTGAGAGTTTTTTTTTCGTTAACTGTTGAATGAGCGCCATACTACTGTGATTTTTTTTTTAGAAGAAAAAAGAGATTATACATGCAAAACATCCAATTGCGCATGCGACCAACTCTTAAGTTTTATTTTTTCTTGCAGTAAAAAAGTATACTATGACTATGATATATTTGTAGCCTTAACAAACGATGCATTTCAGTGGAAATACGTTGTACATTGATCGATCGAACCTTGGTTTCTGAATGGAGTACATTTCGATCGAATATGCAATTTCTCTAGGGATTTTCTATAAAAATGAATTAAACACTGAATTTTTTACAGCTCTTTCGTGTTCAATTTGAATGAATCGAAATGAATTGGTTCGGTTTGTAGGTCATGAAAACAACTGTTTGCCCATTTTACTATTTATTTTCCATTATTGAGTTAAAAACAATAGACGTTTTATGGTTCATTCTGCACATTGGTTTTGCTCATTTTCAATGCTCTCGACACTCATTTGTCACATACACTTTTGCATCGTACACATTTACTCGCATTGAAATTGTATTCAATATTTCTTTTAATATTGTAATAAAACTGCCGTAATGCATGAATGTTTTGCGAAAACAAGTGCTGCACTTCTGCGTAACCAAGTTTCAAAAGTGCATTTTGCGCTCATTTCACAATATTTTTCAAACAAAAGAAATTACTCGTTTGTATTCTCTGCATGTAAAGCGTCTGTTCCGGTTAGAAAAAAAATCAAATAGCGAACTGTGATTTTATTCCCAAATTATGAAAGTTCCGTCAATGCATTGACTTCCATGATTTTGATTTGTATTTTACGATCGAAATGAATTGATTCGTATCGTGGTCACACATTGAAAACTGTGCAAACCAAGTTGCAATTCACAACCGGAATAGTGGCCGTACTAAGTACACTATGACAATCAAACCACAACGAGCGATAACTATAAACTGATATATACTTTTTTCGGTGTGAAAATTGCGGGCACACCAATTTTTCTGTCACTATTTTTTTTTCGTCGTTGTTGCCAAGAAAGTCATTGCAGTTTCCTTATCATATCTTAATCGAGCCAATATTTTTACTACAATCACGTTGAAATTCTAAATATACACTTTTTTCTATCCGTTTTGGTTTGATAACAGGTTGCTATCGCACAATTTTGATAACATTGCACACTAAAAGGGGCAAATGGTTGCAATACGAAAAATGCTCGAAACATTAATATGCCATTTCAATTCACTTGTTGCCATCAATTGGTAGTGGCGTTCGATTGAGTTTCGCTTTTGTGAGTTTTACACCGGACAAAAATTGTCATTGACCAATCGACGATGAATATATAGATTTTTTTTTTTCAATTTGTGAACGAAAGACCATATGCAAATGAGTGTTTTTCAATTCAATGTACTTACCAATTCGATACTCCTTCGTTGTCATTATTTGTTCGTTTCAATTTATGAAAAATGAATTTTATTCGAAAAAAAAAGTGCCGAAAAGTGAATGAACACAATTTTTTTATATATATTTAAAAGACGTTATTCTTCGAATTTGTTTTAGGCTGAACACTACGAATTCGTTAACAAAACACAACAGTGAATACCTTCTGATAAGCTAAAATATATGAATATACTTAATAAATATGTTGTTGTCTCATATATGCGTGACAGTTCCACGAGAGAAACAGACGGACAAAAATATATATGATTTGAACTGTAAATTTTGTTATCAGTGCTGTTTTATTTTTGTTGTTGTTGATTCTCTTTATTGCGTTTCTCTAGTGTTCCAAAGAATAAATTGTAGCTGGCATTTATTTTGCAACAAAAATTTTTTTATTTTTCGATTGATCATCAACACACAGCGTAAAATGATGGAATTCTAAGAAATTACAAAATTTTATTTAAAACTAGGCTGTTTTGTACAAACACTATTCCACAACTAAAATTGCAAATTGAAATTGTGCGCACTCATTTGCACTGCACGGCTACTTAAACAAATACACTGACTGGCATGGTTGGGGAGACGGTTTTGTGATGTGGTACGTCAGCAAACGCGTGTATTACATTTTGAACGAATCGTTCATTTGACTAAATTGCTTTTCGTTTCTACTCTATACGGGAAACTTGTGAATTGCATTTGCACAATTATTGCAACATATATACGCCGGAGCAATTGGAAATTTGATGTGCTTTGCGCTTTCTTTAAAACTTGATTCAGTTTTTGAATTGTTTGTACCTCGTGTCTTTATGTGTATGTGTTTATTTATTTCTTTTTTCAATTCTCTTCCAGTCTCAGTCTCGCTCTGCGCCAAACACACATTTTATGTGCATGAGTTCAAGTCATTTGAAATGTTTCTCGTTAAATAAAAATAAATAGAGATGAGAAGAGAAAAGAAAAAAGCATGCGCTGTTTGAATGACTTGGTTTAATTTTTGCCCCGATTTTTTTATGCGTTTTTTTCTCGCTCATCCGTTCCGTTGAATAGCAACAGAAAAATTGAAAATAAAATTGAGACATGACGTGAAACAAACAAATCCTATACTCGACGTGTAAACTAAACATTTCTAAGCTTATGCCATGAATGTGATGTGTTTTGCTTTGACGTTTTCAAAGAAACATAGGTCACAAATTGCTTCCATTCAGTATGCTCATTACTTTGTAATCCTCAATAAATGATTTTGCTTCTCGTGTTTATTTCAGCAAAACCGGCGATTTTCAATTACGCAAAATCATATGATCATTTAAAAAAATGTCTCCGTTTGTGAATGGACCAAATATGCGTCAATTTCAAATGAAAAACATAATTAATATCAATTTTACATTTTAAATGCGAATAGTCTGTATTTTATACATTTGCAACGCACCGTCAAGCGCATTATTGGCTTATCGACATTTTCGCCTTCTGAGATTGATTTCAAGGCCCAAAGGAAAATATTATGTGACTCGTGATTTCTTTGTTAATAGAAATAAAGACAGAAAGTTTGTTATTATGTACAATATCATTTTATTATAATATATAAAATATGATTTTGTTGGTTGCATTTTTCAGTTATTTATCAAAAAGCAAATATTTTAAACTGTTATCGTTTTAAATGACGTTATTTACTGTGGAATTTAAAGTACTGGAAGGTTTGAAAGCGATATTCACCTTGTGATGACTTAACGTTGGAAACATCTCATTAACTATTGGAAATTCCAAATGCCATAATTTTATATCATTTTTTTTTATTTATCAAAAGCAATTGGAATTCCCATGCATTTGCTCCCCCTGGTATCTTTTTAGAATGGAATTTCTTTTAAATGGAATGAAAAATCTTTTTAGAATGAAAATTTGGTGATTTTCTTTTACGCGCGCTTATCTTCAACTTCACTACATCAAAAATAACGTATTTTTATGGGTTTCATTAGAAACAAATAAAATGAATAAAACATACGCAATAATACAAAATAAACATTTTAATTGATTTACTATTTATTTAGGAAATGGAATATTTTGAAAACGATTCAAAAGAGGTGACTACGAAATAACGAACAAAAAAGTGGAAAAATATTGTTAAATGATATCATATAATCTCCGATAACAAGCACTCGAATTAATAACACTTCGCTAATATGACATTAGTCTTGTACTAATTCCGTTGGACGTAACATCGTCTTTTATTTGATACCAAAATTTGGAATTTAATCTGTTATTCGGTATAAAAAATGACGATCACAATAAGGAGAGCGACTAAAAATGACATGCCAATTGTTTTTAAAATGATGAACGTAAGAAAACTGTGATATATTTCTTTAATTTTACATTTCATCCTGAGGTCTAGCACCGACATTTTGTGATTGATAATATGTTTGATTTACAAAGGATTTGGCCGCCACTTTGAAGCAAAACGCACCTAGTATCACGTTGGAAGGTGAGAAAACAATTTTCCATTCGTTTCGTTATAAACAATTTTGGTTTTTAAAGATTTGTATAGAGATGGCGGATTCGATGGAGACTTGTCTTACTTTTTTGCGCTCCTGGCTGAAGATTCGAAAGTCAAAGATTCCAAGGGGTGAGTTGATAGAAAAATCACGTCAATCATTCCGGCTAATTAAGAATGATTTTTTCAGATTGCCAACTGCAATTGGATTCACATTGTGTTCACATTCATACTGTTGGGATGGCCGAGCGATTTACATGCGGAACTTACTTGTGAACGATTCGCATCGAGCAACTGGTGTGGGTAAAATGCTATTCAATGCTGTGCTGAGATATGCAAAACAAACCGGAGTTAATCGTATTGAATTGCACGTTTGTAAAACGAATCCCGCGCAAAAATTCTACGAGAAAATGGGCGCAATAAATGCGGCTGAAAAAGAAGGACATGTTTACTATCGCTTGTACAAAGATGTTATAAATAAATTTCACGCATAACTCAAATATCTTAGCTAATCGCATATTCAGTAAAGTTCAAAAATGAAATCACCACAAGAATATGTCTACTACTATTTTCAGACAATAAAATGTCAAACTGTTTCGGAAACGATTATAATC